AAAAGTGAGAAAGAAGGAAGAAAACATAAAATTTGTAATAAAAAAACGAAGTTGCACAGGTTTGAACACGCGACATAGTCTCTAAGATTTGAAAGGCTTACCAATTGAGCTACACATACATTATGTTTAAGGAGTGTCACTCACACTATATATCTCTTTTATATGGTTTTCCCATTTAATCGTATATACATATTTAGTAAATTTTCCCAAGTAAGCAGTGTCACGTGACACCCCATAAGCCTTCTTAAATCCACCCCAGGGCAGCCTATGAAGTACTGCTTTCAGAACACTAAGAATGGTGTCACAAAAAGGTGGAGGATGAAAAGTAAACATGTATGTTCTTTTCTTCCTTGTCAAAATAACTGGAGATCGAAAATGGAGGAAAAGCTGAGCTTACCAATTTTCGATAACCGAGAAATCTCCGAGAGCCAGCAATGCAAAGTTCGAAACTTGGTGAATAATGAGCCTGTCCCTCAATCCTTTTCTTCTTAATACCATGGTTTTGTTTGCGACAAGATTTGTACTCGTGATGTGCACTTAATCCACACATCACATGCTCCCACTAGATCAAAGCCTTGTTTTTTTTTTCCCGCTTTGTCTTGGGGGTTATGGATGGAAATACCTCTAATTTTTATTTTTAAGAAAGGTAACAATTTTGACTTACATAGATTTTTCTCACAATTAAATGAGGTATCAATTAATATGGGCGTATATAATTTTATCTGTATTATACTTTTGGGAGATTTCATAAAAAAAAGAAAAAAATTGCATTGACGATTGATATGATTCTCTTGTTTTTTTCAGCGAGGCCTGCAACAAATTTTTAACCTTAAAGGAGAGGCGGCCAGAATTGATCAGCTTACGTAAAGTATCTGCAAGAGATGATGGAGCCGTACGATGTTCTTATGGATCAGACATGTCAATTGACGAGGACCCCACTACTCCCGACCAACGACTTACTGGGTCCCACTCTGCCGGCTTTGAAAAGTCCTCAACGTGTCAGCAACCACAACCCCATGAGTCCAGCGTGGAACCAGATGAAAAGGACTCCATTGTTGAAAACGAAAAGGAGAAAGAGGAGGAGGAGGCAGAGAAATCCGCGAAATTGAAAAGGCGGCTGAGTGTACAAGAGCGTATTAGCATGTTTGAGAATAAACAGAAGGAGAATTCCGGGGGCAGCGGCAAGGCTGCTGTAGCGAAAACCCCCGAGCTGCGTAGGTTGTCATCTGATGTCTCGGTTCCGCCTGTGTTGAGGAGATGGAGTGGTGCTAGTGACATGAGTATTGATTTGGGTGGTGATAGGAAGGATACGGAGAGCTCTGTATGCACACCATCTTCTGCCTCGGATGTACGTGGTGAAAGCAGATTGGATGACCATACTAGGAATGTCCAAGATTCTCCCAGGACCAGGCCAAACTCAAATTCGGGCATTGTTGATGTTGATCAGGGCCGTGGGAAGACCAGGTCAAGCTCACATATAAGTGGAGGTGAGGATAAGAATGTGAAAAATCAACCAGATATTGGAGGGCCATTCTCCTCTTTCAATATGGGTAAAAGTGCTGATTTTGGTTTGACTACTAACACAGACTTCAAGGGTTCTCAAGGTGTTAAGGAGCTTGAGAAGAGCAAAGGAAAAGTTAGTCGTCAGATTGTTGGCCTGAAGGACCAGGGTAATCTACCCGAGAAATCTGGAGCTGGGCAGACCGAGATTTTGTATCAGAAGGAGGATACTGAATCAATTGATCATTTGGTTTCTAAGCCGGATAAAGCTCCTCCAAGAACTGCAGGGGTCTCTGCACAGTTGGATAGTGGTTCTACAGCAAGAGTTACAGAAACTTCTGCTGCTAAAGTCCTCGAAGATAGTTCACTGAATCTGCAGCCAAGATGGCAAACACTTTCTGAAACTGAGCAAGTTGAAAAGGATGAGCTGTCTCCTTCCGAGAAATTAGTTAGTGCTTCTCAATCAAAGGTCAAAGAGCTTGGACATGAACCAATGAAATTTAAGAAACAAGGTGGTGCAGCTGAACTGATCAAGAAGACTCAAGATAGGGGGTATGAGATCAGGTCTGGAACTAGCAAAACACCACTCTCGAGTAAAGTGGTTTTGGAGGCTGAGGAGGGACTTGACTCATTTTCGACACCCCCTATTGAGCAAGCTCAGAAGGCACGGCAGCCCAAAGCAAACCAGGAAATGAATGATGACTTAAAAATGAAAGCTAATGAGCTAGAGAAGCTTTTTGCTGAACACAAATTACGTGCTCCTGGTGATAAATCTAATTCTACCAAGAGAAGCAGGCCAGGTGACGTGCAAAGCCGTCCAGCTGCTGGTTCTTCATCCTACAGGAAATCTGTGGTAGATAATAACAGTGTTAGAACTTCTGAGTACTTGTTTAATGAACCTGCCTCAAGTTCCAAGGATGTTCTAAATAGGAATTTCTCTGAACTAAGTTTTTCGGAGGGTTCTCGGGGAAAATCGTATGAGAGGTATATGCAGAAAAGGGATAGAAAACTCAGGGAAGAATGGAATTCTAAGGGGGAAGAGAAGGAAGCCAAACAGAGGGCTATGGAGAATAGCCTTGAGAGGAGTAGAGCTGAGATGAAGGCTAAGTTTGCTGGATCTGCTGATAAAGACAGTATGTTTTCTAGTTCCCATCGGCGGGCTGAGAGACTCAGATCATATAATTCGAGGTCTATTCTAAGGAGAGACCAGGTATAGTTCTTTCTCTATTCTATAATACAAATAGCAATTCCACCTATGCATATGTAAGATAGCTGTTTCTATTACATGCTCTTTTTGTTGGTATGGTTCTCTTGAGTTACATGTGATTGACCCTGAAACAATTTGTTTTGGCAGCAACAATTAGTTTTTGAGCAAAGTGATAACGATGAAGATATGCCTGAATTATCGAAGCAGAAAAAATATGGTGAAGACAGGTCTTTCGATGAAACATCCTTCGGGGATGATGTTCGTAAAAGCACTCGGGGTAAGAAGCCTTTACCTGTCAAAGGTTTGTCTTCATCCACACCTCGCACCACAGTAGCACCTGTTCCAAGGTCTTCTGGGAAAGCTTCTAATAATACATCAGGTAAGCGGAGAATTCAATCTGAAAATCCTTTGGCACAGTCTGTCCCAAACTTCTCTGACATGAGAAAGGAGAACACCAAGCCTTCTTCCACAGCTGGTAAGACAACTCGTTCACAATCTAGAAATTACACCCGTAGCAAAAGCACAAGTGAAGAGGTACCCCTTATCAAAGAGGACAAATCACGAAAACCACAATCCTTGAGAAAAAGCTCCGCCAATATTGTGGAATTTAGGGAGACATCCACTTTCGATTCTGATGGTGTTGTTCTGACACCTCTCAAGTGTGACAAGGATGAGATGGAGCGGAGTATCGATAAATTTCCAAAGAGTTCTGGTTCAAAGACCTTACTAAAGAAGGGTAAGAATACTGACTTCAGCTCTAGAGGTGGTCTGACTAAGACAAGGGCTTCTGCTGTATCTAAGATTGTGGACGACAATGATGAGTATGATGATATGGTATTTGAGCCCGAAGACTCCGAAGGTATGGGCCCTGATGAAGAAGAGGAGGAATTTGAGCACATGACGGCTGAAATTCATGAAAACTTTGATAACGGGGAACCAAGACTGAGCCATGATTCAGAGAAGTTGGAAAACTCTGGATCAGAGAATGGTGATGTTCTGAGATCATTTTCTCAAGTGAACTCTGCTTCAGAAGCTGTATTGCCTTCTATGGTCTCTAACAAGTTGTTATCTGGTGGACTTGTGCAAGATTCACCGGGAGAAAGTCCCGTCTCATGGAATACACATGCTCATCACCCTTTTTCTTATCCTCATGAGATGTCTGATGTTGATGCATCCGTGGACTCTCCTGTGGGAAGTCCTGCGTCCTGGAATTCACATTCTCTAAGTCAAACAGATAGTGATGCAGCTAGAATGAGGAAGAAATGGGGAATGGCTCAGAAACCTATGCTCGTGGCAAATTCTTCTAATAATCAATCACGCAAAGATATGGCCAGAGGATTTAAACGGTTTCTGAAATTTGGGAGGAAAAATCGCGGCACAGATAATTTGGTTGACTGGATTTCTGCTACCACTTCTGAAGGAGATGATGATACAGAAGATGGACGTGACCCTTCTAATCGATCTTCAGATGATTTAAGAAAGTCAAGAATGGGCTTCTCTCAGGAACATCCATCTGATGATAGCTTTTATGAGAATGAGTTTTTCAGTGAACAAGGTGAATTATGTGTTTCACTCCCTAAACAAACTATACTTGTTTCAATATGGCTGATATTCAAGAACAATTTTTGATATTCAATTCTGTTTCTTGAGTTTGCAATTCTTATTATTTTTTTAATCATTTGGTACATTAATTTCCAGAAAACTTAACTGCTAGCACATAATAGTCGTACAGATCATTGTGCTGTTTTGTCTATCCAGGGAAGATCCAGGGAGGATAACAAAATTTATTTACATAAAAAAGAAAGAATTGGAAATGCTGTTACCTTTCCCAAAAGAAGAAGAAGAAAGAATTAGAAATGTTGGGAAGCAGTGGAGACCCACAATTCCAGCTTTTTATCTGTTATTGCCGGTAGTTTTGCAAATGGTCTTTGTGTAGAGAAAGAAGCATAGTAAAGCAATGTAGCAATGATGTTTGAAGCTAAGTTCATACCTTAAACTTAGATAACTGGAAATGAGATTGTTTGGGACAGCTGGTGCTCTTGCTTGTCACTTTGCTTCTGATTCCATCTTGTTTTGTTTGTTGTTCTTCAGTCTTTCAACTTCAGTATAGAGCTTTTTCAAGTCTCTAACCCAATGCTTCTCTTCTGGCAGTTCAAGCCTTGCGCAGTTCAATTCCAGCACCTCCAGCTAACTTCAAATTGCGTGAAGATCAATTATCAGGGAGCTCAATAAAAGGTGACCAGCTAGTTTAAGAAGTTAGCCTGTCTTGTCTTATTGCTTGTGTTGTGTTTTATGTTTTGTTGCATAATGCAATGTCATCTTGTGAAGAAGTTATCTTACTTGGCTGCAAGTAGAAAAGTTAAAGGTTAGAAGATTTAGAAAGCCTCTTGTATTGACCTATTTGCAAGTTAGCTCCATAAAATCGTAATCATAAAATGTCTTTTCCAGTTTAGGCATTAGGTCACTGTTCACTTTCACACTGTTCACTAGTTCACTAAAAGATTTCAATTGGTTTATCAATCTAGGCAACACAAAAAACAAAAAAACTGACTTAATAACACAAGAACTCCATAACCTTTTTTTGTGGTCTAAAACCTCAAAAATGGACCGACTGAAGACTAACAACAATTCACTTAATAATAAAGACAAGCATACATTATCAAAAAAAAAAACAAAGACAAGAATAAACCATATTAAAAGACTTGATAGCTGGTAAAGTTTACTCCAAACACAACTCAATTATATAATGATTATGAGTTCAAGAACTCTCCTCCCCTTATGGCTCAGAGGCAACACCACCTTCTCTTCTTTCTTTTTTAACTTTGTCCAACTGTTGCCACCTACTGCTCCAACATGTGTTTATCTGACTGTATTTATGAGACAGGGTGCATGATCTTATACCTTAGTATTTGATCTTTTTCTTTCTCATCCAATACTTGTACTTCTTTATGATGATCTTCAAATGCCCCAAAGACATTTGATTTGCCCACATCAACATGATCACGTTGGCTATAGTCTAGTTTCAATTCAAGAAATTTGTCAGTTACTTTTCTTTACTTGTGGAGGCATAGTAATATGCTTTTCCACTTGGTGAAAAGAGCATAACATAACATCAACACCTGCTCCTGTCCGAGTTGAAAACTCATTTGCTTTCTTGAAAAAACCTTTTTTCCTTTTTGAGAAAGTAACAAGGCGTGCTTCCTTAGACTCACTCAACTTAATTTCAATCTTTTGCCTACCCTTCCCGGTCCTCTTATCCATTGCAAAAACAAATAATTAAAGAAGAAAATAAGATGTTTTGGCTGAATAAGCCTGAGCAATTTTGAGAGGAATGCTTGTGTAATTTATAGTAGGTGTGCGTGTCTATCTGTCACGTATATTGTTACATTTGTTTAGTGTTTTCATATTATGTGAATCTATTTCGAGATAAAGAATTTCTTATTTATTCCACTGCAATTGCAAAGTAATAATGTTGAATTGAATCTAAAGATAAATGAAAAATAAATTGTCACGTTTATTTAATGTTTTCATATTAGGAGTTATTTGTCATGTGTATTGTCATGTTTATTTAGTGTTTTCATATTATGCGAATCTATTAAGACATTACCAGGATCCCAACAAAAGATGTCTTCAGTATGCGCTCTTGACTTTTATCTGTTCCTAATTATTTTACAGCTCCAAGATCATTCTTCTCCTTGTCGACATTCAGAAGCAAGGGAAGTGACTCAAAGCCAAAGTGACTATCCAAAGCAATAGATAGCTCTTTCAAAGTATAAAGTTCCACTAATTCTTGGAATTGCCTTGATTGCACACGTAACTTCAGACTATATTTCGAAGCAAGAGGTCAAGGTAGATGGCGCTACTATCATCTAAATATGTTGTATACTTGTACTTAGTAATCACGGGGCTTCTGAAGCCTTGCTTGTGCTTTTAGCTGTTTCTAGTAGTTGTCCCAGAATATATGTTGTATATTGTCTTGAGAGGACAATAGCGGAATATTAATGTGATTTTGGTAGTCATAGCATTCTTTCTTATGTTATTTACTCTTGATTTTTTTGGTAAATATCAGAAATTAAATTTTGTTCTATCAAGTATCGATAATTTAGAAGGTTGAGACTATTTAATTATTCACGTATGACGAGTTGACACAATGTTGCTGCCTAGACGGCTAGCCTCTCTGCATATTCTACAATGCCAGACACTAAGTTATGTTTGTTTACATACTAAGAACAACATGCTGTGCAAATCTGCATAGAAACTGAGGGAACATTGTAAAATTATAATTGTCTTCATGCTAAAGCTTATATCTAGTCCAAATTTGTATTTGTCTTCATTACTGGCAGTCAGTTTCAGTGACTTTCTTGAATCCTTGTTGTATAAATTAATAAGACCTAAAATCATTGCTTTGGATTATTGAAGGGTGTTTTTGAATGATTTTAACATTTTTCTTGTGATCTGATAATTTCTATGTACAGTACAATTTAGTCAGCGAGGCAACAATTACGCGTCTAATTTTGAAAGAAAATATATCATTTTTATATACTTACATTTAGATCATATTTCTTGTGAGCAATTTTGTTGTCGGAATGCAATTTGTTTTATTGTTTGATTGACTTCTCGAGGGGACCTTTGAGGTTGTTGTCCCTTCTCAAATTTCAGAACTCCCAAACTTCAAATCTTATCTCTACCTTTGAGGGGGCCATGACGCATATGAACAAGGGTGGTTAATTTAACACGTATACAAGTCAAATTACTTGAATATCTTTAGTGTAATTTCAGGTTTCGCCACTGCAACTTCACCAACTATGTTCTATAAACATCTGCCGATTGTCAAGAGCACAATTCATTCTGTTGCCGGCTGGTCAGCATATACTATAAACTAAAAGCCGGCCTACCAAATGTCACTAAATAAAACTAAATTTGCTAGCTATATAACATCTTTTCCTTTTTCTTCTCTATATAGATTATGAGAGCAGTCAACAGTCATCAACTTTATTATATAAAAATGATGATTGGTCAATCATAATATTGTCTTGAGTCACTTAACTTTACAAAATTTTGACAAACACAAAGGCATTAACCAGTTACTATTAGTCTTGGAAAAACCAGAAGGCATTTTAATAAGCATATTCATCCTAGGAACAACTGCTAAAAGAGCTGTAAATTATACCTTTTTATGTTCATATTTGTCTATATCTACCATATTATAACTTGAACAGAACCACAACCAAAAAAATTTCATCATCAACACTCAACAGCAATATCCCAAATGGCTCATTCCGAGTTCTCGTCTTCCACGACTAGGCAGAGACGACATACTACACCGGTGGTGTCACAGCAACCCTCCACATCATTTTCAATGTCGATGACTAGCTCCCACAACTTCAGCCGTGCGCGCAATCCCACCCCTGCTAGTCCTTTTGCCTCTGATAATGACAGGTCAGTCGCATATGTAGCTAGGTGTATTGAAAGAAGTTCAATTGAATAGGCTAAAAACAAAGTTTTTTTTGGATGCATATAAATGGTTGAATGGAGAAATGCTATATGATGGAATATAATGTGTGGTGTTATTGTATCTCTTTTTTGAATCACTTCGTTAAAATTTCTGAATCCGCCACTGTGACAGGTCATGGCAAGGGGAGCTTTCTTGGCAGTTTGATCCAACAGGATGGCGTGATAATCGCAATCTTAGTGCAGCACTAAGTCCATGGACAGCAGCTGATACTTCTTTCACTTCAGCAGCAAATGGCAGTAGGATTTTCAGGAGATCAGCAAACGATTATTACTTATCGCGGACGACTAATAGTGTTTTTCAAAACTTCATTAATCCATCTTATGATCATTCTTATTCTGGCCTCCAGCCATCTGGAAGGCTTGAGCTTCAAAGTTTTGATTCCAGGGCTAATGAGAATTCTTATACCTCAAGGAATCATGTCTCTCGTGAATATAAGGGCAAGCCCCGCAAATCTCCAAGATTGACAACTATCACAGAAGGGACTAGTGCTGGAAAAAGTGGTCCTTTGGCTGTGAAAGACGAGCTCCAGTCGATAGATTATGACAGAATAGAAGATTTTGAAAGGCAATTCCAGGTTGACGGGTGAGATACATCATCAACTACACTGTTAAATTGTGTGACCATATCTTCTAAAGCTAAAACTGTTAAGAGAGAACAAAATTTTAACTACTTAATTATATTATCCCTTCAACATGCTCCTCACGTGCGAGCCTAGTTCTTTTTGAACTTGACTAAGCACATGGAAATTATTTTTGATAATGAATGACAATTAGACTCAAACATAAGACATCTAAAAACTTTGAATTGCTTCTTTATATTATTTCTTCAGCAAACACAACAGTTCAAAATGGTTCCGCAGTATCAATTTGCATGCACACAGATTATACTAATCATGTCAAATTATGTTGCAGGTCAAATGCTCATAATCATGGCATCGTAAGAGGTCATCATGGACACGTTAACCATATGGGACATAGCTTCAACACTGATACATCAGATTTTGACGTGAAGTGTGTTGATCATGTTTATGAGGAACAGAGCCACCATGTTCAACATTCTATGCAATCAAATCTTCATCTGTATGGAAATGATTTGTACGATGATACTGACAAGAATCATGCAGTACACGATGAAGAAGATGACACAGCAGCTCCTAAGCCAGTTGGTTTGCTAAGCTTGTTCAAATACTCAACCAAGTTGGATATAGTACTACTGCTGTTGGGTTGTATCGGGGCTCTAATAAATGGAGGATCTCTTCCTTGGTATTCTTATCTTTTTGGTAATTTTGTTAACAAAATTGCCCTGGAGAAAGACAAAGATCAAATGGTGAAGGATGTGGGAATGGTAAATATATACTTTAGAATTTTATTGTGCTCCGCCTCCCAGAGCTCTCAGTTAATAACTCCTTACCCTTCCATCCTGCAAGCAGAAAAAAAGAGAAATATTCATGAATACTACTGTCCTAAGTAGACGTAATTGCCTATAAATTGAAATTTCTGAATTTCAATGAGATCTTATAACGGTTGATACAACCTTCAGGTGTGTGTGCTTATGACTGGACTATCAGTGGTAGTCATGGTTGGAGCATACTTAGGTAATTTAGACATTTTTATTCTCATCTTAGTATGGATTTTTGAGTTTGAAAGAGAGCAATCACAGTTAACACTTCATCATCTTATTATGCCAGAGACCACTTGCTGGAGATTGGTGGGAGAAAGATCAGCTCACAGAATAAGAACTAAGTATCTAAGAGCTGTTTTGCGACAGGACATAGGATTTTTTGACACAGAACTGAATACTGGTGAAATTATGCATGGAATTTCGAGTGATGTGGCACAAATCCAAGAAGTAATGGGAGAAAAGGTACATTTTTCTCCCATTACTAACTGATAACTCTTCACTTATTATAGTGAAATAAGCTGTGTTAGCATTCCCACTATACAATGGCTAATTTAGTCCAGAGAACTTACACCAAATGCAAGCAAAATCATTTGAAAATTGGAGAGGAGCAGATAAAGGAATTATGTTGACACTAGTGCAAATTAATTAGTAGGGTGCTCAGACAAGAAAATTGGGAGTCATTCCTAAGTTGAAAGATAACTTGTAGCACCCAAAACAAGTCAAGTCACAGTCTTCTCCGTGCGTCCGAATAGCCTTGGGCCATCACACATGCGGAAACTGATTCATTTTAATAAGATATGCAAGATAATAAATATTGCCACATTATGTTTTATAATAATGATCAACTGTCGTAGTTTACTGTGGTTTAGAATGTTCTTTCAGAAAAAAGTAATTTGGTCTGGTATCATATTCAGTTTAATGTCTTCTTCTCAAACTAGCGATGTCAGCCTTATGCATATAACTGTCTCTGTGATCCTGTGTAATTTTGTTCCTCGTGCAGATGGCACATTTTGTTCACCACATCTTCACTTTCATCAATGGCTACGCAGTTGGTTTTAGAAGATCATGGAAGGTTTCCCTGGCAGTTTTTGCAGTAACACCACTGTCCATGTTCTGTGGCCTTGCCTATAAAGCCATCTATGTTGGCCTCACACTGAAAGAAGAGGTGAGAGTCATGCAATGCAACTCAACATAATTCCTTCCGTCTCAATTTATATGACAATCTTTCCATTTCGACCGTCCTAAATTGTTTCACAGCATTCTACTGAAATTTATTTCATAAAACCTTTACAAGTTTCCAGAATCAGCTATAACTAATGTGACATTTTCTCCTCAACCTAAACATTTCCTTGTTATTTTAATACACTTTCTTCCACTATTATTCCTGTAATAAATGCATCGAAATGTCGTTCCTAGTCAAATAGTTTCACAAAGAAGTACAAGTTAATATTTCTCTGCTTAGTTCAGTTTAAACTGTATACTGAGTTTTGTTGTTCTTTTGTACAGGAATCTTACAGAAAAGCTGGCAGCATTGCTGAGCAAGCAATGAGTTCAATTAGGACCGTAACTGCTTTTGTAGCAGAGGACTATTTAGATGCAAAATATGTGGAATCTCTGCAGAAATCGGGCCGTTTGGGGGCAAAGGTTGGGTTTGCTAAAGGAGCAGGAATTGGTGTTATTTATTTAGTTACTTATGCGACATGGGCATTGGCTTTCTGGTACGGTTCAATCCTTGTAGCAAAGGGAGAGCTTTCAGGTGGTGCAGCCATTGCTTGTTTCTTTGGTGTTAATGTAGGAGGAAGGTAAATAATCTGTCATTTTTCTCTGTATATGCCCTCAACCAGAAGAAGGTTTGATTAACTAATCAACTTAAATTAATAAATGAAATTTAAGTACCATAAAAGTCTCAAACTTTCAAGGAAGCAAACATTTAACAGTCTCATCAAGAATTCAGCTTATTGAAAACTATTCCAATATGGAAAATCATATTAATTTACCAATTAATATATACAAAACTAAATTTTTCCCATTGACAACATATCTACTTTTGCAGAGGCTTGGCTCTATCCCTATCTTATTTTGCTCAGTTTGCACAAGGAACTGTTGCAGCTACCAGGGTATTTGAAGTTATAGACAGGGTGCCAGAGATAGATCCCTACAGTCTAGAGGGAAGGAGGTTGTCAACTATAAGAGGGAAGATTGAATTTAAATGTGTTACCTTTGCGTATCCGGCTCGTCCAACTGTCCAGATTCTCCAGTCTCTTAACTTAGTTGTTCCAGCTTCCAGGACATTGGCATTAGTGGGCATCAGCGGAGGTGGAAAGTCAACAATCTTTGCTCTGATAGAAAGATTTTATGATCCTCTTCAGGGTAAGCATATGAATCTTTCTTACATGAAAACTATACCTGTGGAATGAACATTGTGGATATTGGAGGAAAGATATTTATAAATGATAAAACAAATTACATATATCTGGCAGGTCTTATTACATTGGATGGCCATGATATAAGAACATTGCAAGTGAAGTGGCTGAGGACTCAGATAGGTATGGTTGGTCAAGAACCAGTACTTTTTGGGACAAGCATACTTGAAAATGTGATGATGGGAAAAGAAAATGCTACCAAGAAAGAGGCGATGGCTGCTTGTGTTGCGGCAAATGCTCACAGCTTTATCTCAAGACTTCCAGAGGGCTATGATACACAGGTGCATTATATGCATTGCATTATTCCAAAAAATAAATCTAGCGAGATAACCATATGCATATTAAAAGGGTACTAGAAATACTGAACTTATGAACCTGTACAGGTTGGAGACCGAGGAACCCAACTCTCTGGAGGACAAAAACAGCGGATTGCTCTTGCTCGAGCAATGATTAAAGACCCAAAAATTCTTCTTTTAGACGAGCCAACAAGTGCCTTAGACCCCGAGTCAGAAGCCATTGTGCAACGGGCCATTGACAAGATCTCCAAGGACAGAACCACATTAGTGATTGCCCATAGGTTAGCAACAGTAAGAAATGCTCACACTATAGTCGTTCTTGATCATGGTTCAGTTGTTGAAACAGGTAACCATGATCAGCTAATGGAAAAGGCTGGGGCATATTTTGGCCTCATCAAGCTTGCTTCAGAAGCAGTACCAAAACCTATGTCAAATCTGGGAGATGTTCCAAAGGAAAATGAATTCTCTGCCTATGAAAAATCAAATTATGATGTGGCAAGAGTAAAAGGTGCATATGAAATCTCAAGATCAAAGTACCTAGAATCTATGCAGGAAGGAAGCCACATAGAAGGGGAAGAAGGAGAGCAAGCAAAAATGAAGAGTTATCGTCTCTCAGAATTATGGAACCTGCAGCGACCGGAGCTGATAGTGCTATTAGTAGGGCTATTTATGGGTATGCTTGCAGGTGCAATTCTCTCCCTCTATCCCTTAGTTCTAGGGCAAGCACTTAAAGTATACTTTTATACAGACATGTCAAGATTGAAAAGGGAAGTTGGATACCTCTGCTTGATACTAGTTGGTCTTGGATTTGGATGTATATTCGCTATGGTAGGCCAGCAAGGCTTCTGTGGTTGGGCTGGTACCAAGCTCACCATGAGAGTTAGAAGTTTCTTGTTTAAATCTATACTCAAACAAGAACCTGGTTGGTTTGATCTTGACGAGAATTCCACTGGAGTTCTAGTGTCAAGGCTTTCTGTTGATTGTGTCAGTTTCAGGTCTGTTCTTGGTGATAGGTTCTCTGTCCTGCTAATGGGCCTGAGCTCAGCAGCTGTTGGACTCGGTGTGTCGTTCAAACTTGAATGGAGATTAGCTCTTTTGGCCACAGCTGTCACACCATTTACTCTAGGAGCAAGCTACCTCACTTTGATTATAAATGTAGGAGGGAAACTAGACAACAGCTCTTATGCTAAAGCAAGTAGTATAGCTGCAGGTGCTGTGTCAAATATAAGAACTGTGGCAACATTCTCAACTCAGGAGCAAATAGTTAAATCATTCGAAAAAGCTTTATCTGAGCCCAAGCGAACATCGGTCAGAAGGTCACAGATGCTTGGTCTAGCACTAGGCCTTTCTCAAGGTGCCATGTATGGAGCATATACCCTGACTCTCTGGTTTGGTGCATACTTGGTAAAGCAAGGGTATACCAATTTTGGCGATGTATATAAGATTTTCCTAATACTTGTACTAAGCTCATTTGCTGTTGGACAACTTGCTGGCCTTGCCCCAGATACTTCTATGGCTTCAACTGCAATACCCGCCGTTCTTTCTATTATTAATCGTAAGCCTTCAATAAGCACTGACCGTCTGAAAGGAAAAAAGATTGAAATATCAAAGCCATTTGATATAGAGTTTAGGACGGTCACATTTGCATATCCATCAAGGCCAGATGTCATAGTGTTGAGAAACTTTACTCTTAAGATCAGAGGTGGGACAATGGTAGCATTGGTTGGAGCAAGTGGATCTGGAAAGTCAACAGTTATATGGATGATACAGAGGTTTTATGACCCAATACAAGGAAGAGTACTAATGGAAGGGGTTGATCTGAGGGAGCTAAATTTGAAATGGTTGAGAAGGCAGACAGCCCTGGTCAGTCAAGAGCCGGCCCTATTCGCTGGCACCATTAGAGAGAATATTGCATTTGGCAAGCCTAATGCTACATGGGCTGAAATTGAAGAAGCAGCAAAGGAAGCTCACATTCATAAATTTATCAGTGGGCTTCCTCAAGGGTATGAAACAGAGGTAAACCTCTCAATTATGACATACATTTTTTATTTCAATGAGGTGGCATGGCTTGACTAATCTCTAGAGTTGGCATTATTGATGACTATTTCACAGGTTGGTCAGAGTGGTGTTCAGTTATCAGGTGGCCAGAAACAGAGGATAGCAATTGCAAGAGCCATACTCAAGAAATCAAAGTTGCTCCTACTGGATGAAGCTAGCAGTGCATTGGACTTGGAATCCGAGAAGCATGTTCAAGATGCACTTAGGAAGATTTCCAAGAGGGCTACCACAGTTGTGGTAGCTCATCGGCTTTCCACAATTAGAGAAGCCAGCGTGATTGCTGTTGTGAAGGAAGGCACAATAGCAGAATATGGAAGTCACGACAAACTCATGGCTTCCCATCTGGATGGTCTATATTCTAACTTAGTTCGGGCAGAAACAGAAGCCTTGGCATTTTCTTGAACCTGATTATGAATATCGGAAACTCATCAGAATATTGTCCTTATGAATTACTTCAGTATATTAATGCAAAAAGTCATTGCATATTTAGTTATCTTGGAAGAAAATGTATATTAACACAAGCAGTTTAGCAAAACATATACTATGAACAAGAATCATGTTTGGCTTTTAGGATGTTTTTGATTCTTGAAGAGAGTAACTGAATCAAACACACAGTACTTGTCGTCTAGTATGCAACACAGTAATCAATCGTCTTTTAGGAAAAGAATACTCTATGGTGGGAAGTAACTGGTAACTAGTCAAGGTACACACAAGCTTATCCCGACACCACGATTACAAAAAAAAAAAAACTCTATAAGCGGAAGCTTAGATATAAAAGTAATTACACATGTCGTTTTCGATAGTCCTACATACAACTGCAAAATCAAAATCCAAACTTTTCTTACCTCTCTAAATGGCTACACCTCCTCTTCCCGGAAATGGCCCTGCTACCAACACAACATCCAGAACAAACTGACCAGATTACCCTTGAAAGTCCAAACACATCATATTCAGGATTGGGACATAAGGGTCATTTGAAGTCAGACCAGATAATAGAATGGCCCCATAGAATTGTCAACAGGACCAGAAAGATGGCGTCTTAGCTTAGAAGGCAAGTAAACCTGAACGCCTACGTACCTGCAATGGAAATATATATATAAAAAAAATTGCTTCTTGGTTTGGCTTCCACATCGTTCAGGCGCCGGATTCCGAGCGCCAGGTTCTTCTCCTTCTCCAGTCTTTGTATATATTTCCTGGTAATTGGTATGCTTTAGCGCTTCTTCACATCCGTTCATCTTTCTCACTGGCAAAAACACAAACAGGTTGTCCTATCTCATTTTCCATAGGATCTTCTTGATGGTTTTCGGATTATTTTAATTTAGTTAACTTGCATTATGTTATGTTTCTAGCGTAACTGGGAGCAAAACAAAATGGCAGCCCTCGTACCAGGAGTACTGATTAAGCTTCTCCAGAGTATGCATTCCAATAAAAAGGTTCGTGGGGAATATAGATCAATCCTTTTACAAGTCATCAGCATTGTCCCTGCCTTGAATGGTTCAGAACTATGGCCAAACCATGGTTTCTTTGTTAAAGTTTCGGATTCTTCTCATTCGACATATGTTACATTATCCAAAGAGGAGAATGAGCTCATATTGAACAACAAATTGCAACTTGGCCAGCTCTTTTATGTTGAAAGAATGGAGCCTGGAACTCCAGTTCCAGTTTTAGTAGGGGTGAGGCCACTTCCAGGGCGACATCCATTTGTAGGTAACCCGAAGGATTTAATGCAAATGTTGGAACCATCTGAAGTCACTGTTCGAAATGCTCAGGAAGATGTAAATGGTTCGAAGTTGAATGAATCGCCTGAATTGAACAAAGCGGACACTAAGAACAAATTTGTTATCAAAGAGCAAAAGACGGTTGTTGCTTCCAGGTACATGCGAGGAGTATTAACCTCTAACACAAAGATTGGAGGGCTTGATCAAGGTACTGGTGTGAAAGGCATTGAGAATGAGAGCAGTGGAGCTGCTAAAAAGGCCGTACCTCTGAAAGAGAAACAATGCGAGCTTAAAGGTCAGGTATGATTCAGTGTCATAGATTATTCATTTGTGAAACTCGCTAATAGTTCATAGCCAAGTTTTATTCCAATTATTCTTTGGCTACAACTCTGTGATTGCCAAGTTTTCCAATGTCCAACGAAGATATTTATGTAAATTAATAGTAAGTCCTACTTTCCAAAATGTTGTTCTGAACACCAGCACATTAAGAAGGCATTCACTGGTTAAAAAGGAAATAAGTAGGGACTTGGACATGAATGTATTCAGGGAAAGTTCAATTGAATCTGAATTCTCTTCTGAGCTTGCTAAGAAAAGTTTCTGCTCGGTTGATTTCAGACACGGTCTTCAACTCCTTTCCGCAGCCAGTCTGATGCATTTGTGATAAACTCAGGCATAAATAAGCATATGAAAACTCCAATATTTTCAACATTGAAACTCACAACAAGCAAACAAGAAAGCATCAGAGAAAACAGTCAATCCTCGGAAGCGTACATGCCCTGGTCCTCGCTACCAACCAACCTTGCAAAGCCTGGGAAGGTATATTTGATTCTTTAGATATCATTTGAATAGTATAATATGCTACTGTTTTATTAATATCAACACCCCATTAATCACCAATTTAATTGCATTATGATCTAATGGTCTAACATTGAGTGCTGTTAGAGAAGCTGTCATTCTTCTATTGGATAGACAGACTTTTGAGGCTGGGTGAAAACTAGTAGTTGAAAAGACATGGAGCACTAATTAGAGAGGAAAAATGAATCAAGTATATTTATAATCTCATTCTTGTTCATATAACAAGGGGATACTTAGGAGGGGATTATTAGCTTCTTTAGTAGCAGCAGAAGCTCAAGAAGAAGCGAAGGAAGCAGCAAAACTTCTTCATTGCCTCAGGTACAGTCTAGGAGTCAGAGTTTTATGTAAGGCCTCAATTGTATATCCATCTAGTTCTTCATCTTCCATTCTTTCTTTCATTTCATTTTTCTCTCTTTTCCAGAATGTTTGCTGAACTGTGCACCTCAGCATCACCAGAATGTCCCCATATATCTCTCTCCAAGTTTTTCACGCTCAACAATCTCATTGAACTACCCAGTACTGTTAAAACAAAAGAGCTAACCCCAGATAATTTTGCCACCAAATTATCTGTTCATGAGAAGGTGAAAGAAGGGAAGATGACATGTTTCTTGAATGGTAAAGCTACAAGCAAGTCTTTGAAGCCTTCTGTGGAACTTTCTGGGGCTGAAAAGCTAGAGTGGGCAAAAGGAGACGGTTCCAAAGACATCGTGGAACTAAGAGAGCTTCTGTTAAATGAAATACAGTCTTGGTTTCTCAAATTCTTGGAGGGAGCACTTGAAGTTGGGTTCTGGCAGAACAAGCAGGAACAAAAAACGAAAGTAAGTGTACCACGCCAAACGGAGTCAAAAAATCAAATAGCTTTCACATTATCACAGCTTAAGCATGCAAATGAATGGTTGGACAAGGTAAGGAGTACCTTATGCTCAGACAAAAACAATGTGGCTGATAGAGTTGATAGATTGAAGCAAAAACTCTACACTTGTTTACTGCTTTACTTGGATTCAGCCGCTTCAGCTCTTGGAAAGCCGACCTCATAGACAATAATTTCATGGAAATGGACCAGAGATCCTAAGATGTGTTCTTCATATTCTATTTATATAAACATTATGCAGGAAGCTATTTAAAGGCCACTTAAAAGTGGCCAATAAGCTGCTATTTATGGTTCTGTATCTAATTATTTCATGTATTTTTTAAAAAACAAACTGGTTGCTACAGTAAGTTAATGATGACTTACCTGCATTGCCGTTAATATTTGAATGTCATTATTGGCGGGGATTTAAGCTGGAGGGTCAGAGGATAGAAATCCGAGTAATCTAGCATGTGCCCTGCTTCTCCAGCTTAAATAACCCGTCACCTACAAATCATTAATTCTTGCGGGCACTTCAACTAGTCCACCTAGTACCTGCTACGGTCTTCAGTTAAATAAGTCACTGCCCAAGGAATATGGATGATCAAACAAGGGTATGTATGCTTGTATATATATAAAACTAATCCTACTAAGAATTCTTGGCAGTACTTTTCTGGTTAGATTGGTAGTTGATCTTGTGTTTTTTTGCTTTTGCAAATTAGATTATTTGTTGTGCTTTTCTAATGTAGAAAAGGCCAAACAGAAGGGTGTTTTTCGCTTTGGTGACTGTTGAAGTTTGGCAGCCAAAAAGGTTTGAGAGAAGATACTCTACCAAATGCAACCTAATTATTACAGATACAAGCCACCCACCCCATTTTCCTATCAAATAGTATTTCAAAACTTGAACTGAGGTATATGAAAAACATTCACCAATTCCCAAGATTTTCTGCCAATTTGCTTATTAAGTTGAAAGAATGAAACTTTGCCTACAAAAATTGTGATGTTAGTTAACTTATTATATTATATGACCAAATTATTAGACATAATGTTGCTGAAGGGGGTTCATCTTGACCCCAAGAATGAATTGGATCGAAATGACTTTCTTTGTCAAAGCCTCGGGTAGCCTATATGCCTCCTTGAAACGCACACATCACTAATCAAATTTGAATACTGTTTCTACCTTTACAAAAGGCCGCGGTGGTAGCGCTTCTAGGCCGTCCCAACCAAAGAAAATAGAAAACATTAGTATTTGTTGCTTAACTTAGCTCTATAGTTGAATTGTTGTTCATCTGTGTTCAAGGAATTTACATCACATTGTTCTTCTATTACTCTTCAAATTTGGTCTGTCATGTTTCGATTAATTGATTAAGTGACATCAAAATGATTTCTAAATTTTATGCTATCAACATTGTCATTAATATTAGTGTCACGAATTCAAACTTGGAACTTAAGAGTGTGTTTAGCATTGGTGTTGGGAGGCCACTTATTTTGAGAAATTAAGTGTTTGGCAAATTCTTTAATCTGATTTTTAAATGAAAGCAAAAGCGGTTGTCTGTTTCTAGAAAGTAGCTAAAAAATTCTATTTTTTTAAAAAAAAAAGAGAAGCAGAAATTGAAAATTAATTTTTTTAAGATTAAAATATCCCTCGCATATATACATATTTATCTTTTATCAATATATCCCTTTTTAATTAATTAACATATCTCATAAGTTTGGTTGATTTTATTCAAGAATTATTTTTTATTTCTATATAATAAATTTTTTATTTTATTTATGTTTTATATTATTATATATATTATATTGTATTTATTACTTTATATATTATTTTACAAAATTAGAAATAAAAGTAACAACGAAATTTTTGTAGGATTAAAAAAGGAGAAAAAATAAAAATTAAAGAATTAGACCCTCTCCAAAAAAGTAACGAATAATTAAATTTAAAATGTTATTAAAGTTTCTGTATTAGATGTTTAATATAGTTTCTCTCTATAAAATAATTTTAATATTAAAAGCACATTGATACTTGCCCTTTTTTGTAACTTGACTCTCTAAAGCACTTTTTAAAGAAAATTAGTCAAATACAAATTGTTTATCCAAAACACTTTTCAAATGAATTTGTTAAACACTAATTGCTTTTTTTGAAAAGTTATTTTAAAAAAACGCTTCTATAAATAAGTAGCTTGTAGCAGCAATATCAAACATGCTCTTAGTCAACTCAAATAAAAATATATATAATCAATTAATCTTTTTATTATGTTGAGGAAATTCAAAATCTATATATACAATAAAAATAAAATAAAATGAATATGAATATATAATTATTTTTGGTGAATTAATGTGGTGAAATTCCTTTTAACTCCGGTCTTAAGTGCCATCTACACGTCGTCACCCAATCAAAAAATGACAAATCAGCACAGCTTATGCAAATGTGTAAAAACGCTTTTTATATTTTTATCAAAACCGTACCTCTTCAAATCTCAGCAAAACCCCTCTTTGTTCCCATCCCATTTATTACCAGCTCCGATTCAAGCTCTTAACAATTTATCAAAGGCGGTCAGCGATCGGCGACTGGATTCCGAGCAGTCACGCAAGCGTATGATCGATCGGTAATTTTTGATCTATGCTGATAATAACTTCGTGAGCAATCTGTTTATATCATTGTGTTTGTTTGCGTGGTTTTGTGTTTGTTAGATTTAATTTTAGTCATTTTTCATTGGAATTGAATGTCGTAGGTTTGGAATGTTAGGGTTACAGAATTATTCTGCTAATCAGTTCTGTCGATGTGCCTATACTGCTTAAAGTATTCAGGGATTAAACTCTCGTAAAGTAACATGAATGCTCCTTGGAGATCATCTACTTTGTTTAAGGAATTCGACTTCTGTTGAAATTTGTTGAAAATGTGTATATTTTGTGGTTTTAATTTGATTGTCTTGTTTTGAATTGACATGGAGGGTAAGAAGGTAAAAAGAACTTTTGAATGTACCAAAATATCTGTTAATTTTGTAGTCTTAAACATGCCACGTGGAAAGTTAGAATTAAAGCGTTGCCAAAAAAAAGGGAAAGAGTCATTCTTTCTGGAATAAACTAAAAAGGAAAGTAATTGAGGGAGAATTTTTTAAGCAACTCCAAGCAGAAACGAAAGGAAATTGCATATAGAAGCTAAGTTAGCTAAGAAGAAGATAGAACTTGGGATTTTCTTTCGTGCTTCCAAATGAGCTGCAGATCAATATATATACTCTACTACCTTGCCAAAAGTGTGACTAGGCAAATTTGTTAATAAAAATCGTTTTTTCTTAAAAACGTAAGAAACTAATCTGTGAAGCTTTTAAAATAATAACTAACTCCCCTTCAGCCGTTGAGTACTCCTCATAAAGTGTAATGTACCATCCTGACTGCACAGCTTCTACTTCATCATTTTAGAACACGTCAATTTTACGTTTATTAGATTGAAAGCAAACAGTTGCACTGACCGGAAGTATAATGCATTAGTTGTTGTCATTTCTGGGAATGTTGTTCGTATAGATGATCGTGTTAGAAGTTGGACGGCATGGACAAAGTAGAAAATATAGAAATTTGACTGCAAAAGGTTGAATTCTCACCGTTTTGTGTTTTGATGTAGCTGTATGCTTGCGGAAAAATATGGTGAAGTTGACTTTGATTGCTCGTGTGACTGATGGCCTTCCTTTAGCCGAGGGGCTGGATGATGGTCGTGATGTTCAAAATGCTGATTTCTACAAACAGCAGGTGAAGGCCTTATTCAAGAACCTGTCAATGCGCCAAAATGACGCTTCAAGGATGTCTATTGAAACTGGACCTTACGTCTTCCAGTATCCTTTTGTTCATGTTATCTTTCCAACGTGACTTCACCGGTTTACTTATGGGTCAACACCCAATACTATATTGTGTTTTGATTTTCTCTCGAAGAATGAGAGGATTTGAGACTTCCTTTCTGAGCTTGACAGGTTATTTCTTCTAATAGGGTTTTGCCGGGGGTGGGGTGAGGGATTCATTTGAGACTTTTAATGAATATTTTGCATTTTTAGTAATCAATTTGCCCCTTCCCTAACTATTTCAATTAACTTGTACTATTGCCCTTGTTTCAATTATATGTTGGTACTGCTTATTGGGGGTATTTTGATTTGAAAACTCTATGAAGTCAATACCTGTTAGAAAAGGAAAGCTCTTGTTGATTGAATGCTCAGCATTCAGTCCTTAAAACTTTCCCATTTGGTTTCAATATAACAGACAAGTTGGAGTTTTCTGGATATTTCAGAAATGATCAGTGTTGCTGGTTTAGTGCTTTAGATGAATGAGATTTCACCTTGGTGTGTCAAAGCTGTTAAATACTCTTGATCCCTTTTGCGACATACATTTTTTTGGTTTGGTTAGTAGTTTCTCCACTTGATAAGCTTTCACAACTAAACATTGTACTTCTAGTTTTTTATTGGATTTTTTAGTAGCATCAATTTCATCATTATCATGGCTGACTGAATGTGAAATATCAAGGATGATTTGGCATCTTAATCATTATCGCATTCAAAGTATGTGAACTTCCGGATTAACCACTGTTGCCTTAACTACTTTTTGTCATGTATGCTTTCTGCTTTCTGTACCACCAGTAATATTGCTCTTCTGTCTCTATTTCACCCTCTTGAGAAAGTTCACTCCATGTGTATAGTATTCTCTTAACCTGTGCTCTCAGTTATATCATTGAAGGGCATGTTTGTTATCTGACAATGTGTGATCGCTCTTATCCCAAGAAACTTGCCTTTCAATACCTGGAGGACCTTAGGAATGAGTTTGAGCGCACCAATGGGAGTCAAATTGAAACTGCTGCTAGACCATATGCTTTTATTAAATTTGGTAATCTATTGGAGTATTTTCTTTTATGCTTTTTGCTGTCCAATTATATTTTGGTGAAACTGATATTCTGATGCTTGCAATATGTGATTTACCCTGTTGTAAAAGATACATTCATACAGAAGACGAAGAAACTGTACCAGGATACTAGGACTCAACGCAACATTTCTAAGTTGAATGATGAGCTTTACGAAGTTCATCAGATAATGACTCGAAATGTCCAAGAAGTTCTTGGCGTTGGTGAAAAGTTGGACCGTAAGTTTTTCATTCTAACATTCCTCTTTTGTGAACAATACCTCGTCCATTCTGGATTTCTTCGATTTGTGTTATGACTTGGCCTTAAATCAAACAGTTAACGTGCAAAAGTAAATGGAACAGTGGAAATTTCTGGGACAATTTTCTATTAATCAACTTGGAAATGAAAGACAGTAAAACTAAAGTAAAAGGAATTAAACTAAGCCACTACAACAGCCATTGATGAGTCCACAATCTGCAGAATAGAAGGAGTTTAGGATTAGAAGAGAAAAGATGAGGAAGATAGAGAAGAAGAGATCTGAGAGAAGAAGAAGAGAAGTGAGAGAAGAAAATACCAAATTTCCGTTAGCCTTCTTCTCTGCCAAATTGGTTGTTAAAAGCATGACTTGTGCTGAGTTGGCTTCTGATGACGTGGCTGCATCTCTACCCTCTAACTTCATTAATCTACATCTAATCTGAGCCGTAGCTTTCACCCGGTAGTTATAACTACTTATTGGACATTAATTAGGCCCAAGGCCATGACAATTCCTTCCTCACCAAAGCATCCTTGTCCTCAAGGATTAATAGCAAAATCTGGAAACTTGGACTTGATGAAATGATAGTCTTCCCACGTGGAATCTTCGGGGGGAAGGTTTGACCATTGGATAAGCAATTTTACACCGGCCACATTATTAAGTTTCATCATCTGCCGTCGCAATACAGCCACTGGTTTAACCAAAAATTGTCCATCATCGCCGGTACTAGGCAAAGTTGATTGAACCACTTTCTTAGCTCCAATCTTCTTCTTAAGTAAGGATACATGGAACACTGGATGCACCCTGGAAGTGGAAGGAAGCTCTAGTTTATAAGCCACAGGGCCAATCTTAGTCAAAATCTTGTATGGACCATAGTATTTGGAGCTGAGCTTCAAATTTTTTCGCAAGGCAATAGAGGACTGCCTGTATGGTTGGAGTTTGAGATATACCTGATCACCAACTTGAAACTCTCTTTCTGATCTATGCAAATCAGCATAATGCTTCATCCTTTCTTGGGCCTTGCATAAATTATCCTTAATAATTTGCTGCATTTGTTGCCTCTTCATAACCAATTCTTCCGCAGCAGGCACAATACTATCCAGCAGTGGTCCCATAGATATTTGAGGGGGAGAATAACCATATTGAGCTTCAAAGGGACTACACATGAGGCTAGTATGATAGTTGGTGTTATACCACCACTCAGCTTGGTGAAGCCATTGCTTCCACTGATGAGGTCTATGGCTAGTCATACACCGTAAGTAATTTTCTATGCACCTGTTAACCCTCTCAGTTTGCCCATCTGTTTGAGGATGATAGGAAGAACTATATAAGAGTTGAGTTCCACTCAACCTGAAGAGAGCTTGCCAAAAATTACTGAGAAAGATCTTGTCTCGATCAGATATAATAGACTCAGGTGGACCATGAAGAGTGTGTACGCGCTTCCAGAACTTAGTAGCCACCTGTAGAGCAGTAAAAGGGTGTGATAGGGCTATGAAATGAGCACCTTTAGTAAATCTGTCAACTACAACAAAAATGACATCCTTGCCTGAGGACTTAGGCAAGCCTTCAATAAAATCCAAACTTATATGCCTCCAGGATTGATCAGGGATTGGCAAGGGTTGAAGCAACCCTGGGTATGGAACATTCTCATCTTTATTTCTATGACATATTTCACATTCAGATACAAATTGTACCACCATTTGTTTCATCAAGGGCCAATGGAACAGGAGAGACAACCTTTTTAAAGTTCCAAGTTGGCCCGAGTGCCCCCCTAAGTTAGAAGCATGAAAAGTCTGTATCAATTGTTGTCTAAGGTTCCCAGTGGAACCAACATAGACCTTCCCCTTTCTCCGTAACACTCCTGAGAGATATTGCCATAATTTTGGGCCAGTAGTATCCACAGTCAGCTGTGTAATTAGTTCCATGGCCATAGAATCACCTTCATAACTTGTAGTAATATCCAGCACCCACAATGGAACTGTCATGCTAATGGCATTCAGCTGACCTTCTTCTTTCAAACTATCTCCTTGTTGTCGTGAGAGTGCATCAGCAACTCTATTCTCTGCCCCCTTTTTGTACTGCACCTCATAATCCAATCCCAAAAGTTTGGTTAGACCTCTCTGTTGCACTGCTGTAGTGACCTTCTGTTCAAGCAAGTATTTGAGGCTATGATGGTCAGTTTTGACCACAAAATGCTTGTATTGAAGGTAATGTCTCCATTTTTCGACAGCATTCAGTAATGCCAAGTACTCCTTCTCATAAATGGACTTATCTCTATGTTTCAATGCCAACACTTTACTGAAGTAGGCTATTGGTTTTCCTTTTTGCAAGAGTACAGCTCCAATCCCTGAATAGCAAGCATCAGTTTCCACTACAAACTCCTCATTGTAATCTGGTAAAGCCAACACTGGTGTAGTAGACATAGCTCTTTTAAGTGCTACAAAAGCTTGATCCGCTTCTTCACTCCATACAAAGGCATCCTTCTTCAATAAATCAGACAATGGTCTACTTATACTCCCATAATTTGCCACATACTTTCTGTAATAACCTGTTAAACCTAGAAAACCCCTCAAAGCCTTCACAGTTCTAGGAGTAGGCCATTCTTCCATAGCTCTCACCTTGTTAGGGTCAGTGGACACTCCTTCAGCATTGATCACATGCCCCAAATATTCTACCTTAGGCTGTCCAAAAGAACACTTGGATCTTTTCGCATACAAGGAATGAGCCACTAAGGTGCTGAATACCAGTAATAAGTGTTCCACATGCTCAGACAATGATTTACTGTAAATGAGAATGTCATCAAAAAATACTAAAACAAACTTTCTGAGGTACAACTGAAATACCTGATTCATCAAAGCTTGGAAAGTGGCAGGGGCATTGGTCAAGCCAAAGGGCATAACCTTGAACTCATAATGTCCCATATGAGTCCTGAATGCAGTCTTGTAAACATCTTCAGCTTTCATTCTAATTTGATGGTAACCTGCCCTGAGATCTATCTTAGAAAAAATCATTGCCCCATGCAATTCATCTAAAAGGTCATCAACAATGGGAATTGGATATTTGTCCTTTACTGTGAGCTCATTTAAACCTCTGTAATCTACACAAAACCTCCAGGTGCCATCCTTCTTCTTAACCAAAAGAGCTGGTGAAGAAAATGGAGATTGGCTATGACTAATAATTCCATTGGTGAGCATCTCAGCTACTTGTTTCTCTAATTCCTCCTTTTGATAGTGGTTATACCTGTAGGGCCTTATACTCACTGGCGACGCTCCAGGCTTCAAGTTAATGGCATGATCTAGTTGTCTCACTGGAGGTAAGGCCTTTGGTTCCACAAATACTGCTTGATACTTATCAATCACTTCCTGTATAGCATCATCTACCCTCTCCTGTTCAAGTTCTGATTCTCCTCCTAATATGAACAAATGAGCTATCAAGGTTTGGCCCTTCTTGATGAGCTTGCTCATTGCATTACCACTAATCATACTCAAGCTACCCTCCACTGGTATAGCATGTAGTACTGTTTTATTACTTTTTCTACCAATGGTTACACACCTTTTCTCATGGTCAAACTTGGTTGGATTATTTTTCTTCATCCAATCATTTCCCAGTACCAAATCACAACCTCCCAATTTGATAATTCTCAAGTTTTCCTTGAAGGATTTACCTCCCATTTTCCAGCTAAAATCAGGACAACTCGTGTGACACATCACATAGTTACCATCAGCAACAGTAACTTTCATGGGGGAACTATATTCAGCTACATAGCCAGTTTCACTCACAGCTTGTTCATCTATGAAGCTGTGTGTGCTTCCCGAGTCTATTAGTACTGCAAGGACCCTATTCTTAACTGATCCCTTAACTAAGATAGCATTTACTCCTTGGTTACTACCAGACAAGGCACTCAAACATATGGCCTCCATAACCTCCTGTTGTATTTCTCCTTCAATGATAAGATCCGGTGGTTCAGGTACCTTTATTTCATCTGGAAGTATGGCCTCTTCTTCACCCCTCATGCAATTCAACTGCTTAGCCTTACAGTTGTGTCCTGGGTAATACTTCTCTCCGCACCTGAAACATAACTTGTTGCTCCTTCTGTATTCATACACTTCTGGAGTCAGCCTAAAAGTGTTTGGTCGAGGATTGTTCACAGTAGCATGTTTGGAGTAATTTGAACCACTAGCAACAGTAGGAATTGGATTACTTCCCATATTTTTTGTAGAACTAGACCCTCCTCCCTGATAGGAAGTTTTAGTCATCATCACGTTCTTCTTTTGAGCTACTTCGATTGCTTTCTCTTGTAGTCTAGCCTGCTCTATAGCTGCTCTTAATGTTACTGGCTTAAACATTTTAACCCCAAACTTGATTTCTTCCTTCAAAGCTCCAATAAAACTTGACAGGAAATGAGCCTCATTCAAGGTTGGGTTCCTTATTATCATCTGGGCCTTCAAATCCTCAAACTTGCCAAGGAATTCATCTACAGTTCCTATTTGAGATAGCTTATTAAATTCCTCAACTATATCTGCAACATCTGCCTCCCCAAATCTCACACAGAGTTCCTCCTTAAATTCAGCCCAAGTAACTACTCCTCTATCCAAAACAAGTGAATTATACCATGTCTCAGCAAGCCCATTCAAATAGAGTGCAGCTCCCTCTACCTTTTGATTATCAGCAGTTCTATATAGGTTAAAGTACTTTTCACACTTACGCAACCATACCTTAGGTTCGTTCCCGTCAAAGCATGGTAGTTCCCATTTTGGAGGTGGAATTGGCAATCTGGCCCTAGCTTCCTGTATGGGATTTGGTAGCAGCCCATCTCTAACTGGAAAAGCGCCTTCAGGAGCTCTGACCGGTGCTCTTTCTAGAGCTGTCAAACGATCCAAAATAAGCTCCAAAGTTCCCCTGATTCCAGTTTGAGTTTCATTGAGTTCCCTGCAAGTTGTAGTGAGATCTCCCAAAATTTCGTCATGACGCAACAACTTATCATCTAGCAACTTCATCCTGGTCCCTTCAGCCATTTTCACCTTCACGAGTTGAGCGAAACCTGGCTCTGATACCAATTGTTATGACTTGGCCTTAAATCAAACAGTTAACGTGCAAAAGTAAATGGAACAGTGGAAATTTCTGGGACAATTTTCTATTAATCAACTTGGAAATGAAAGACAGTAAAACTAAAGTAAAAGGAATTAAACTAAGCCACTACAACAGCCATTGATGAGTCCACAATCTGCAGAATAGAAGGAGTTTAGGATTAGAAGAGAAAAGATGAGGAAGATAGAGAAGAAGAGATCTGAGAGAAGAAGAAGAGAAGTGAGAGAAGAAAATACCAAATTTCCGTTAGCCTTCTTCTCTGCCAAATTGGTTGTTAAAAGCATGACTTGTGCTGAGTTGGCTTCTGATGACGTGGCTGCATCTCTACCCTCTAACTTCATTAATCTACATCTAATCTGAGCCGTAGCTTTCACCCGGTAGTTATAACTACTTATTGGACATTAATTAGGCCCAAGGCCATGACAATTTGATTATCTCGAAAGACATTGTGCTAATGTGCTATAAACCTAACTTTTCAGTTTATTATATCGGCAATGTCAACTAATTGATATTAAAATTGAGTTTGTGGTATTACACTTACATTAGTTCTGAACTTCTGGTGTTTATAAGGAGTCTTTCTAGTCTGGTTAGAGACTTGTATGTCCATGTATGGCAAGTGTGAGATTTGGAGAATCTATGGTAAGGTTTTTTTATCTTTCCCATAGCAGCCTCGCTAAATTCTAAATTATGGTTGTCTCCTAGAGTTTCCTATCAGAACTTCAAGTGTCCATTGGTAGTGTATCACAAGTCTAAAATGTCTATAATTTTCAAGTTTATATGTCTTGATGTAGTAGGTCGGGAGACAAAAACAGAGGAGAGTGGATGCTGTGGAAGATTGTTGAGAAGTAAAATGGTTTTAAAGACCACACTTAGATGTCCTTAAAATTTGACAATGTAATATAACACGGTTAAGTGTTTATTCCTCTATCTCTCCTCATTAACTCCCAGAGAACTATAGATTGCATTCAGAATGATTTCTTCTATCAGAAAATTTCCAAGCTATAATTGTGTAGGCTGCATCTTATATGCCATATTGAAGGCAGAAAATAACAATCTTTGGTTTATTATTAAGGTAATTTAAATGGAGTAATTGTGGTTGTGAACTTGTGAGATGAGATTTTTATTTTGGAATCATTAAAGTCCATGCTAAAGGAAAGTGGGTTCTCTATATTGTTGAGAAAAAAATATGATGCTTTTGGTGTAAAAGTAGTGGAACCAAATCCATCTCTATGCAAATAAAATTGGGAGTCGTGTCAGTTCCAAGAATATTTGCCTCTTTCTAAATCCAAAAAGCACATGACGTTAGTCAGCTGTAGGATTTGCAGCTTTGACATTGATTGGACTCTTATGATGATGTATAATTTTTATATAGTTGGTTCGCCCCTATTTTCACCCTTCCCATGTTCATTGCCCTATTTGTTATTCCATTTATGATCATCTTAGGTGGCTACTGACTAGATTGTCGAATATCAATTTTTTGCAGAGGTCAGTCAGATGTCTAGCCGCTTGACATCTGAATCCCGGATATATGCTGATAAAGCAAAAGATTTAAATCGTCAGGTTAGTTTCATTGGCTTCACAAGATGATGTACCTCATAATTTTGTTTGGAAGTTGTACAGTTTAAACTAATAGAAATGCTAAAGCTGTACAAGAATCTGAAGGAACATACTCAGTGTGATTTCTTTTAGTTCTGCTAAAATGCAGCCATCATGTTGGTACCTTATTAGGTTCCGACACAAGCAAAGACAAGCAGCCTATGTTACTGATGGTTATTGTCTCATTTGTTTATCTTTAAGCATGTACATCTGGATATTTGACATTGCTTTAACTTACTGATTCATTACTTGACTTTAGGCTTTGATTCGAAAATGGGCTCCTGTTGCTATTGTGCTTGGAGTTGTCATTCTCTTCTTCTGGCTTAGAACAAAGATTTGGTGATTCTTCCATACAGATGCAGCTCAGTGACAACAATACTGTCGAATGCTTCTTCCTGTTTGTCACCATCAGACTGTGCACAACCCAGGGAACCTCACATTACAGTTGTCCAGCATGTGTTGTGACATATCAGTTTTATAGTGTAAGAGAGGAAAGGAACCGTGATGAATTATGTCCCTTAACCTTGAGAAATTACATTAATTTTGGTTCTCCTTTATATATTGTCTTGTTAGTTTAGCTTCAAAACTCCAATGTAGTTTCAGCTATGAAACTAACGACTTTCAGAATATACAGCAAATATAAACAATCCTTCAGACTGCTATGCTATGGTGCTTTGTTTACTAACTCTAAGTTGCTGTATGCCTTCCAATACTTGAATCTTTTAAAGTGTTCATCTGAGTCTGTGAATTTACTAAAAACAGTAATCCAATTATGGCATAGCATGTCAAAAAAGGATTACATTTTCACCATTCTTAAGAAAATGGTGGTTAATAAATTGAAGTCTTAGGGGTATATGTGGTACGTTGGAAGTCATTCTCACCAAAATATTTTTCATGAGGAAGTCAGGAAAATGACTATACGCTTAAATATTTGACAACGAATTATGATGTGGACATGTTGGTACATTGGTGCCACAATTACATGATGAAAATTTAGAAAAACAATCCTCTAATGCTTTGTTGAGTGTCCTCTATGTTTGTAGTAGTTTGTATTTTAATGTGTATTTTCATAATTATTATCATAAACTATGACTTCCCTTCAAAACTTAAGGAAAACATTTTCCAAAATTCTCTTTCAATTTTCAATTAAAAAAAAAATTGTTGAAAAAATCAATTTATTTGGTTCCTACCCTCAAACCAGCCCCCCAACCACCTCCAAAAAATAATAATTTAAAGTTTGTTTTTAAATTCAATATTTTTACCCCACCCTCACCCTACCCCCATCCCCTACCACCAC